CCAGAGACACTGTCCGGGCAAACAGGGCCTGTGACACCTTCCACCTTCTCTGGTCTCCTGTCAGCAATCTGAGAGCCATGGCAGGAGATGCAGGTGGTCGCAGGATGTGCCCTGCGGAGCTGTCCTGCTGCTCTGGTGCCACATGCTCTGGGTGTCCTTGCTGGAGCAGGGGAGCTGGACTAGGTGATCTCTAGAGGTCCCTTTCAACCTCATCCACTCTAGGATTCTAGGGCTTTCTGTGTGTCCTCTGAGATCGGGACAACAGGGACCTCTTGGCACAGCTGCCATTGCTGGGAGTGAAGCCCATGAAGCCCGGTCAGTGCCGGAGCATGGGGACTACAGAGTGGAAATCCTCTGCATGCTGTATGGCCAACCTCTCCCAAAACACTCACAGCCCCTTTTTTTCTTTTTTCTTTTTTTTTTTTTTTCTTGCTTATCCATGTAAGCTGGAATTTTTTCCTGGAATCTGATCGTTTTGATCCCACAGATGCAAAAGGAGGTATAAGAATAAGGAAAACCATTTATCATGTGTAGAGATCCACATAAAAAAAAGCAGACAGAGAAGCTGCACTGGGTGCACGTGCATATGCTTGACCTTCTCTCTTTGTTGCAGGGCTCAAAGAACCGCAGTTTGTGGAGTTTAATGGGGGATTTAGCCAAGACCAGCTGGACTGGTTCAATGAAGTCCTTAAGATCTCTGATGAAAACCAAGAAAAAGTTGTAGTTATGGGTAGGTCTGTTGCTTATGCATGTGACTGAATGCATGTGTGTTGAGGCTTTTAGAAGGGAGTCTCATCTGTTCATCTTAATCAGACACTAAGGGTGCGAGAAATGGATATTCCAGTTGTTCTCATGCTCTGTTATTTCTGCAGAAACTGAGCATCTTAGCATGCTTTAGTTGTCCTTTCAACTGAAAACACTTATTCTCTCCAATACTTTATACTGCTTTGAGGACATTCAGAATCTTCAGAACAGGCCTAGGCTTGGGGAAGAACACTGCTGTTGTTCAGCAAGTATCAATAATGTTACTGAGAATTATACTTGTTACTGAGGGACTGGCGTATTAGGGGCAGAAAACAGCATGACAGGTACTTGAGAAATAACTGTTAGGGAACTAGTTCTGGGAAGCTGATAGGGAAATTGCTACCATGCCAAAAATACCTAAATGACAGTGAAGAGAAGAACAGCACAGAGCAGGTAGGTAAGTATTGGTGAACACAAGTTATATGCCAAAACAAACAAACAAAAAGCCGTGTGGCCAGAGTATGCCAGCTGGGGAAAATGCATCCAGTGCTGTGCAGCAGCTTCATAGCTGCAGTGAGATATGCATGTAACCTGTAAAGTATGGAAAAAGCAATGCTGTTTCACACTAAATGTGGGCTTTCTGAATACAGATAGAAGGCTAAACTTCCCATGAACAGGCAGTTGTTGCTGCTGCTGTTCAAAATATGTATTTAGACTGAGTGACAAACCTGAAGTGATCTTACACATAATCAGTGAGTCCCACTGAGAGGGGACTCTGTATTTAGATACCCAGATGCTGTATAAAGAAGCAAATTAAGCAAATTTCATAAAATGAGAAATGAGAACCTTAAAGATGCTCTAATTGTTTCCCTGGGCATTAAACCAAAGTGATTCTGTCATCCCAAACATGGGGGTATCTGTAATGAGTGTTGCTAGTATGTCTATTATGTACTTGAAGTAATTCTTTTCCTTTTTTTTTTTCATTCCCTCCCAACTGCAGGTCATCTTCCCATTCATCCAGACTCTTCAGATAGAGTTTGCCTAGCCTGGAATTATGAAGATGCCCTTTCTGTCATACACGCTCATCAGTGCGTGGTGTGCTACCTTGCAGGGCACCTGCACGACGGTGGCTATTGCTTAGACTCCCATGGAGTTCATCATCTAACTTTGGAGGGGGTTATTGAAACTCCACCAGAAAGCAATGCCTTTGGAACTATTTATGTCTATGATGATAAAATGGTATTAAAGGGAAGGGGCAGAATTTCAGACAGAGTAATGTATTACTGAAAATGGTAAGTTTACAAATGCTCTTCAGGAAATATTGAAACTAAAATATAATGGCATCTGCAGCAGTGGGTTTCAGCCTATCTTTGCTTATAGAAAGATCTGTGTGGCTGATGCTCACAAATTTGTCCTCAAGCATTTTTCTCTCAGATACAAAATTTTATACGTTATTTATTTTGTAAGGAAGCAAATCTGGTCTCTTCTTGCAGAACAGAGAGGGTCAGTAACTGTGAAATAAATGTACTTAATTGCAAAGCATTGGCTCTAAATACCCAATCCTGAATAGATTGTTACTTACTGTGAAAAAACATACTATATTAACAAGGTTTTATTAAAAATCCACCTATTTGTTTTTTAATATTGGTCAGATTTATGACATGCAGAATACATCTCCAGTTTGGCAGAAAAAAAAATAGTCCTGTAGCCTAATACAGTCTTCTTAGAATAGATTTTTTTTTCAAAATTACCTTAGACTTGTAAAGCAAAGCCCAAGGAAAACAGGGACTATCTGTGCTACATCAACACAGTACTGAGAGACTTGAGTTAAAAATCATCAAGCTAGGAAGACTGTGGCATCGTATAATGCTACAGATACACCAGCCACAATCCACATCTGCTAGCTGTGTTATCTTGTGTCAGTCATAAGCTAAAACCTCCTAACTTGGAAACACTTAACGCATGGTGCTGTGCTCCATATGGCCCATCTATATGGGCCCTCACCCAGTCACTTTGTGTGTCCAGGGTATTCATCTGTGCTTCCTGTTCCAGGATTATTGATGACAGGGCATGCTCTCTGGACTGCTGTATATTCTCTGCTTTCCAGAAACAGAGACATTCCGTGAAACAAGAGAGTTGTGACTATGGTGGTCACTATGACTGCTGGTGGCAGTTCTGAGCATGCATCTCACAGAAAATAAATATAGGCAAGCTCTCTTTGAATTTCTTTATAAAAATAATATTTATTACTTTATATATATAATATTTTTACTCATAAAAGCAGAAATATAGAGAAAATAGAAACAAATGTTAGTAATAATTCGGAAATATTCTATATCTGATCGTAGCACAGATTTTTTTTTAATTATTTTTTCAGTTAGTCTCATTAGTAGACTATCCAGAGAGATAGCTGGAGATTTTACAGCTGCAAATAGTTACTTGTTGAAACAAAAAGTTTGCAACTACTTTTCCTGTAAGCCACATAGTAGAATGTTTAACAAATAACTAGGCCTTAGGAAGGAAGAAACCAGGGATGGCAGGATATCTTGAATAACTGATACTAGAAGGCACTACTTCAGCAGTACTTTGAAAACATATGGAGAAGCAGTTTGAACAATAGTTTCCATAGGAAAAAAATCTCCACTCAGGTTTGGCAGCATTGTTTTTTTTCCAGTCCTCATTAACAAATCTCAAAACCACATTGTGGCAAGCAGGCAGGAATTCTTGGGTCCTGTCAAACTGATACGGGCCTTGCTTTAAGAACTGAACAGCAGAGGCAAGTAAGGTCATAATATTTATTGTGTATTTTCTCCCATCTGATTAAACCACTGTTTTACAGTGAGTTGGCCAAGATGCTCGCATCTCTTTGTTCATGTAAATGTACAGCCACATAAAAAAGGGAAAGAAACAGACCAGGACTGCAGCAATCAAACGAATTCCACTCAGTGGATTCCTACAAAGAAACAAACACATAAGTGCTATTTCAAATCAGATTCCCTTACCAAACATTCATATAGGACTGTGGTTGGTATATTGGCAAGAGACAGTAGAAAGCCTGCATGGAAAGCCCTGTGCATAGAAAGCAGAAAAAAATCTTTTGTTTATCTTCACTTTTTTCCCAGCACACTTTTATTTATGCAAGATCTTACAGGCTGCAACACCAAATACTCCTGCTTAAGTATTTGAGAAGATTTGGACAGTAACGTGAAATAGAAAAACAAGGAGCCAATATCATATGCTTTCAAGAAGGTGGCCAACTAAATATGAATATATGAGTGGATAAAAAAGCAAAAGAACAAAAAACTCACTTTGCTGAACTGCGGCAAAGGCTCATCCATATTGTAATAATCAGCAGACCAGATAACTCTCTAAAAAGACAAACGAAAACTACATCAGAATATGATGCATGGAGATGTTTGCTTGTAAAAAAAAGCCTCCAAGAGTAGGGCAAGTATACACTCCTCCTTTGTAGAAGTTCATTGTATTTTACAAGGATAATAGTTCTAAAGGCATTTGCACTGAGTAACTTTGTCTCATACCACAAATCTGCAAACGTACAACCCAGCTATACAGCTGCAGAAATTCCTGCTTCCACCTCTTGTTCCACCACTAAACTTATACTCTACAATATATCTACCTCATTACTATACAGCAAAACAACACCCCAGGATTTCATACTGTAAACAGCAGCAGCAGCTGCCAGTACTTCACCCTCTATAGTGAACAAGGACCTAATTTAAACAAACAAATGGGTATCTTAAGTCTTTACCAAGTGAGAATTTGTTCCCCTCTCCCTCCAGTCCCTAGGGGTTTCAGGACTTGAACAGAACCTGCCAGATACGCATGCATATGAAATCATCTCAAGAGTCTGTAGCACTTTAAAACTCCAATTTCTACAGCACCAGTAACAGAACAAAAGGTTATTTCACAGTGCTACCGTAGTGGTCTTTGAAAGCCAGAACTGCACCTAATTACATTTAACTGACCCAATCAGGTGGAATTAAAGCAAAATTATTCGCTCTCTGTTTAGCTCTTTCGCCCAGCAAATTGCTGGTTTGTAATACTGTGATTGATACTCCTTGGCATCACTCTTCTGGACCAACACTATTCACTGCAACAGCTCAGCAAATACAGTTCCACTTAAAGATGACCTATCATAAAATCACAGCTACCTCAGAAAGGCCCTGGTGCACAGATAAATTTCATTACTCACCTGCCTTCCTCTTCATGCAAGATGTTTGTTCGAGTGTAAGCAAACAAAGAATAAGCCAAGAGAATGGCCCCAACAATACAACCAGCAGAATGAAGATCACAGAGGGTCCTCCAAACAAGATTATCTGAGGAAAAAACAAAAACAAACAAACAGACTGGCACTAACTACAGTGTATAATGAACAATACCCTGGAAACTGAATAACATCTGAGTTGCTGGAAAACAGATGTCCCAAGCAAACAGATGCCTCCATATTTGTCTTAAGCAGGAAGGATGGAATTAATACCAGCATCTTTATGACCAAGCAAAGCTGCTAAAAACTCTTGTTGAAAATGTAAGCCAGTGGACTGGAGGCTTGTTTTCCTAGAAATGCAATTTCTTGGCAGCAGTGCCTAAATGAAAACAACTCCAGATTCTCCCTAGCAAATGAGACAGGCCCCAGGCCCCAATATATACAGAAAATGATGAGGAGCATTACAAATGGAAGTTCTCTAAAGTAGGAGGAATGGTTTCCCCAGAGCTTATAGCACTAGCCAGACTCTCGGCAGTGATACCAGAGGAAAACCAGGACTCCAGGGGAGCAATTCCCAACTCCTACCAGCTAATCATCCAGGATTTGCAACTGCAGCTATCCCCTTGTGGGGAATTTATTACCTTCATTTACACTTCCAGATAAGACTCTGAACTTTTGCCTATGATTACTAGCAACATTAATGACATCTTTGTGGGCTAGGGACTGATGTTTTAAACAGAAATGCAGATGATATGAAAAATTTGAATGGGCCTAGAGATTCTTTTGGGTTTTTTTTCATGCTCATTCCCAGGAAGATTTTTTCTCCCATTCCTATGGGAGAGAGGTGAGCAAACAACATAGGCAGTTTGCCAGCTGACCTCTGTAATGTCAACAGCAGGAAACCACGAAGTTAAAAACAGTCTTTTCTAGGCATTGACCCCTCCAGACAAGCATTAAAGATGATGGGCGGCCAAAATTCAGGAACTCACTGTGACTCTCAACTTTGTTAGCAATTCCATGGAAAACTAATCATTTGGCCAAGCTTGCTGCAGCTTTGTAGGGGCAGGGTCTGGGTCCTCCACCTTAGTGAATTTATGGAAGTGTCCAGCTGTGCACCAGTTGTACTATTTGTAATCTTTAGTTACATTGATCTTTGTATGAGCACCAGGAACCTATTTATAATTGTATCATGCAGTTTCTCTTGAAAAGGCAAATGGCACATGTTGAAGATACACATACCACATAAACCTCCCCTGAAATGTTCAAAAACACAGACACCAGCTCTTAGGTTTTTTGAATGCTGCCAACTTACATGCTGTGCTAGCCGAAATGCTGAGAGACTTCCATGTTATGATTTGTGACAATAACCTGCACTCCTGAAAATATTTATTTTGGGGCATAAATGTGGTTTAGCAGTATTCATCCAGGAGAGGTACAATCATTTTGTTCCATACAAAAATATTTTGAAATTGTTTTCACTGTTTTTTAAAAATGCATGTTTTCTTGAGTCCTGGGTCTAATGTGATCTCATAGATTCTCTCTACACATAGGAGCTGTAGCCTGATTTTGCCCTCTTAGTGTACATCTGTGGAAATTCAACTATAACACAGAATTCTCTAGAAGTCTGCATTGCTGTGCATGCACTTTGTGTGATAGTCATAATATTTAAATATTATTACTATTTACTGTTAAGTAACGCCTTTAGCTCTTCAAAATACTGTACAGAGCTTGACTGCTTTAAAATAAGCAAAATTCCAATTTTACAACAGGGAAACAATGTGAGCTAAACAATTTGCACATGTCAATATCAGAGTCAGGTTTAAAACACACGCCCAGGCTTGTACTTCATTTGTTCTTGGAGAATTGTTGTTGGAGTGCAGTGATAAGAGTATCCCAGTGGTATGTCTTCTGCGGGGTCTTTGAGTTACGTTTCACTCAGACACGTCAACCACAAATACTAAAGCAAAGGGCATCTTTTCTAGAAAAAGGCTACCCGCAGGTTGACTTTCCATGAGGCCCAACCTTAACCTGTGACTCAATAGAATCATAGAATCATAGAATGCTTCTATGAGGCCCAACCTTAATCTGCGACTCAGTAAGAAGTGTGGAGGGTGAACTTTGCCCAGACACTCTGTCGTACGCACAGTATCGTACCTGTTATCGAGGGGTTAAGGCCAACGAGCAGCGTAAGGGCAGCTGGCACAAGGTAGACAACCTGTTAACAAGACACACATCAACTCTGCAGCCATCCCCAGTATTAGGAAGTAGAAACATTCATCCACGGGGATACTAGTTTTGAGTCCAGGCTCCCCTTCTTTCCCATTTCAATAGTTCGTCTGATGCGCAGGAATGTTGTAGATCTTTCTCTCACTGGTCCAGATACCTCTAGACCAATAGTACTTTTATACTTTCATGGTTTGAGCGCCGCACACAAGGCAGTCAAGCCAGGGTTTTAAAGCAACTTTATCCACTGATGTGGAGATGGAGCTGGCTTTGTCAGACAGCCTTAGACCCAGGGAAGGAGGAACAAGACAAGCAGTGCTTGGCACAGGGATAGGTGCAAATCTGAGGCAAAATAAAAAATCCTGGACGCAGTGTCACACCTCAGCCATCGCTCCAGTGACTGCTCAGTGACAGTACGGGGAGAAAAGGGACCATTTTCAGGGCTCTGCTTGCCCTGGACCTGTGCCCTGCCACAGGCCTTCTCCCGGAGAGCCAAGCAGGGCTTGGCTGGCAGGGGCACGCAGCCATACTCACTATCCACAGTCCGGCGTCGGGGTCGTTCACCTGCGGGGAGGAAGCAGAGCGCAGAGCACGTTAATGGAGACACCCCGATCTGGCGACTCGTCGTGCGGGCAACGAGAGCCCGCGGGGGC